CCACGTCTGGAGACGATAGTTCTGGCCTCAACACACAACAAACTATTCCGTCAATATGATGGTTGCTACGGCGCTCTCAGATCCAGCCCCCCGCCCTAGCTGCGATCCCCTGTGCTAGCTGCTGCTTGACGTACACTGATGTATGCTACGGGACCGGGGCGGATTCAGAACGTATTTGCCGTAATTGCGAAATACGGCTCTAGAGTTTCAAAGTGTCTCTTCGAAATTTTGCGCTAAAAAATACAGACAAACAATTTGATGGAATTTGGCTAATTCTTATTGTGTTTTTCTTTTTCTTCTGATATTGACAGGACTTGAAGGTTACAAGGCTCCAAAAGGTGTGTAATTTATGGTAGACAAACATCTCATGCTTGTGGATATCTGAAGAATAGAAGGCGGTTGATCATTCTGCACAAATCTGCTGGTATGTCTCAAAGACGAAAGCAAAATAAATCGCAGAAATTAGAACAATTTGTCATATGGTTTTTAGCTATTCGCGGTGCTTGAACTAATGTTTGCTGCGAGGTATAGGGTGCTAGTTTTGTGGCCGGCACGGGACGCTTGGAAAGTTTTATGTAATTGTACATGGGGGAGGCCCCGGCAGAACCCCCGCCATCCGGTGCTTCCGCGCCTAACAGCGCACATCGACTTGGTGGGTGGTTGTTTCACCCCTTTATCTGGGGGATAGCTCTGCTCACTTAAGAAGTGCGGGATAGCGAGAACACTACCGTCGTCTAGCCGTGCAGACGGCCGGTTGAGTCCGCCCTCGTGCTAGATCACAGTAGTCAGGTAGTGCGTGGTGGTCGCATTTTAGCTTATGTGGCCAGTGTATCTGGTTGTGTACCCAGTGCAGTGGTTTTTTTGTCAGTTACCATGAAAAGTGTTTTATGACCGTTATCTGTGTCACGTTACATGGAGTTTTTACGTCTTAAAAATAGAAGATCAACATTCTGCTGGTTCTAGGCGTATACTTACTGCTAGTTATTAATAATTTTTAATAATTTCAATGATCAGTCTAACATGATAAGATAATGACTAATATTCTATTCAGTGTATTCAGAAGAAAAATGTTGTCAAGTATTTGCGGCTTAAATGCATTTTTCCAATTATCGAGTATCTACTCTATAAATTGACTAATATTGTGTGTGTGTTTGTGTGTGTGTGGGTGTGCTGTGTGTGTAGTGTGTGGTGGTGGTGTGTGTTGTGGTGTTTGTTTGTTGTGTTGCGGCTTTTTGCGCCCTGGCTGTGTTGTTACATGCGACCAGTCGCGCTAACTGAGAGATATACTTGCAGAATCTACGCTGGGACGACATCGCTAGGGAGATGGTTTCTGGCTGAGAAAAAAAAAGAATTAAATAAAAGAGTTTTAGTATTAGAGTATGGGAAGCATCAAAGGCGTGTAAAAATTTCGAAAATATGCTCATAATTCGATAGCAATAGATGGCAGTGCGCATGCAAGCAGATCCACTCACGAGTACCGTGGGAATTGACAACTGCGTCTCTGGACTGCGCAGTCGAGAGACATATTCAAGCATCACCACGTCTGGGATGATTGGTTCTACGCTCAAAACAAAATCTATTGAGCCTCCATAGATGGTGACTAAGCGTTCTAACCAAGATCCACCCACGTGGCAGCCTACTGCAGATTCCGGTCCCGGTGACTCACACTCTGCTTTTGACGGTGCACCGTACTGCGAACATGGTTAGTCAAGCGATGGCCAGAAGACGTTGGGCCAGGGATTTCTGTTGTACCATTAGCAGGATGGTTGTATGGTTTTATTTAAGTATTACCGATTTGAAATATGTATAACGGTTTTATTGTCGTGTCCAATTTCTTACACTCGAATGTCTTTATATCTTATAGCACTCTTGCTGTGTCTATGAGCGTTAACCGGGTAATGACTTTCTGCTAGTAAAGGTATAAAGACGAATGAATGCACTAGCACGTATAACATTACGGCCTGAAATATCCATTAATCCATCAGCATTTCTCATCTACATGTCAAGCATTAGAATTAAATATTTTTTTACAACACAAAGCATCACTGGTCATTTCTCTAATCGTAACATACAAAGGCACATCGCATTCTTCCGGTCACAACTGGTCAACATTCCCCAAAAGAGAGAAACGCCCACATTTTACATACATACCGACGTAGATAGAAACCTATACTATGTTTGCCTACGCGTACGTGAAGCACACACGGTCACATTACTGACTCTGGTGCGAGGCCGTCAAATTTATGCGATGTAACTACAGGCTTGTGCTGACAGGCTCTGCGCTGTAGTGGGCGCAATCCGGCAGATTGTTGGTGAATGTATAAACTTGAAGTCCATTCGTTGGACCCTAAGGATGACGCAGTCACCGCCATCTCAGCAGTTTGTACCTACCCGTACTTGCCGGGCTTGGTTTGAAGCGTCTATCCGGCGCAAGACCAAAGACTTTCGGCATAGAGAGCGCAACTTTCAGCCGCAGACACCAGGCAACTGCCGCGCGCACCACCACACCCCACACGCGCCGAGCACCAACACTCTCCCATATATGACGCACTCGCCGCCCCCTACCCTCCACGCAAAACACGGCACACACACCCCACACGCCCATCGTACCGACAACGTCATGACCGCGCGACGTCCGATTCATAGTATACCTCGCACGGACTCACACGCACGGATGGTATAGCGCAAACCGTGTGATGGTGATTGCTTGAATACAGACCTATGGCAGAACCTCGTTTTTTTATCGCCTAATGCGAACAAGTAGTGAGGCGACGATTGCGGAAGACCGCGCCGCGAGAATCTGGTGGCACAAAACCTCGTCGCGGCA